GACCCCAATGGGGTCTATTCTGTAATAATTCCTTTATATTTAACGGCCTTTAAAAATATTGGCGACCTTTAAAAATATGTTTGTATTCGTTAATTTACTTCTGTCATTATTTAAACAGATTTCTTTAAGATAGTCCTCTAACGTATTTTAAAGATCCGTTTAAATAATGACAGAAGTAAAGAAGAAAATATTTTTAAAGGCCTTTAAATATAAAGGAATTGTTACAGAATAGACCCCAAAGTATATGAATAAATAAATATATATTCAGAGTTGCGCGAAAGTTCGGAATAAAATTATTAACTGTCCAACCAGTAACTTAAAAAAAAAACGCTGAAACAGGTGAATTGATTTTACATTGGACGTATTTGTGAAAATGAAAAATGAAATTTTTTTCTTCAATCCCTTAGCTGCAACCCTACCCAACTTTTTTTTTCAAATTCAAAGGTATGTTGGGTGTAGGTCATTGAATAGCTCGTGAAAAATGGAATCTCACCATACCTTATTTTTTTTTTTTTTTTTTTTTTTCGTTTACTTATGTGATTATTGGGGAATGAGAAAAAATTCTTTTAAAAACAAAAAAAATTACAAATAGGTTATAGTGAAATTCCATTTTTTCCTTTGCATTTGAATGTACTTAATGTAGGAATTTATGTGATTCTTATAAAATAGATTTAATAATTGCGGTCCTGGAAAAAATGTTGCTTATCTCAATCATTTCGCCTTATTTGCCTTCCAATTTTTGGCATTTCTAACACACTTTCTTGCGTGTTTTTTATCTACAGGAGAATAAGAGACCTCCATTTTATGAATGTTCATTAAATAATTCTTATTATTTTATTATATACTAAAAAACAGTAATTAACTATGCAGGTGTTGTTACAAACCGACTACAGCTACCATACTGGTTAAACTACTTGCTATTGGCTGAAAGTAACTTTGCCACTTTTGTTATGTTAAATCTGGAGATTGCTGTTTTTGATACAAACTGACATTTTTGCTGAATAGTTTTAACGACTTATTTCTGCTTTTGTTACAAAATAAGATCTGATATTTTAATAAACAAACATTCCAAACCGGTACGACACAAAAAGCTTTAATCGGAAAATTTGGAGTTTGCTGCTTTTGATATTAGACCCCTGAAATAATAATAATAATATTAAATAAATTTAAAATTATAATTAATTAGTTTTTTTGTAAAAACCTTAAAACTACAAAAAAATAAAAGTCACTACAATCATGTACATCGTTTGTAGTTTTAATTCATAAAAATATTTTTTTATTTTGGTATTAGTCGGGTTCCAAAATGACGGAGCTCAATAGATGCCGTCAACAGTACAGGATTCGTTTGAATAAAAACGCGATGAGCGGGGTTACCCTCTGAGCGGGGCTACCCGGTTCTCCCCTAGTTAAGATTTTTTAAGATTAGGAAGGTCTTTATTAATTTTTTCATTAATATCAATAATGTAAAATTGCCGATATAATTCGGTGATTTATAGTATCAAAGGTTCTAGAATAGTCAATTAAATTTAGAATTAGAATCAGAAATATTTTAGACGAATAATTTTCGTATATTTTTGTAAAATATTTGATTTTAATTGTGGCACTGCTCTTGTGGGTGCTTCACGCAACTGATTTTTCATTTTATGTAATAATATCTCTCGAGCTGTTCGACATCCTTTCTAATTGAAATATTATTATTAATCGAAGAAGGGATTCCAGCCTCAACCGTTTTAGCGCTATTTGCACCGGTATTTTTTAGTTAAACTTATTTTTTTAATATTTTGATGTTATACTCAGGGGCGTAGATTCTTTCCAGGATGTATTTCTTATTGAGAGAGCAAATTAGGTCAGTTCACGGATCTAATTTACCTTCACGAGAAGACAAAATAAATATTAATAGGTAAAGTACAAAATAACAAAAAAACCTTGGACGCCATCTGCTTTTCTCAAAAAGCAGAAAAATACCTCAGTAAGAAATACATATGGTCTCTTAGTCAAGTCTGTAAAGTTGAATAGGTGGAAATTAAAAGATGAACCTTCCTATATACAATATAATACAATGTGGTTGCCCAGACGGCAGTGTCCTGTTATCAGTTCAGTGAAAATGCGTAGATATTTCCTACTCCATTCTCGGATCTGAGCAAAGGCGTTCATAGAAGGGTTGGTTACAAACGCCTTCGAATGGGTTAGCCCTGGGGTATCTCTCCAGTTCGTGAGTGTTGCATCCTCTGTCCATTTTTAGATAATTCCTTTGCCAGTACTTTTTGCAATGCCCAGGAATGGTTCTGTCCTATGAACACAGATTTGGTTCCTCTTTTAGCAAGTGCGTCGGCTTTTTCGTTGCTCTCCACACCGCTGTGTCCCGGAACCCAGATCAAAGTAACTTTGTTTCGGGCACCGAGGCACTTTAGGGTATTTATACAGTTCCAAACCAGCTTTGAGTCAACTCGATTGGAGCTCAGGGCCTTAAGGGCTGCCTGGCTATCTGAAAAGATCTTTATAGTCTTGTTTGCGGAGAGAAAATTAATGAACCCACTCGCTCCCAATTCTATAGCAATCATTTCTGCTTGGAAGATCGTGGCCAGAGAGCCTAGGTTTATTGATATGTCAACTCGAGGCCTCTGGCCGAAAATTCCCGCTCCTACTCCTTTTTTAGTTTTAGAGCCGTCCATGTACAACGCATAGTTTGCCTGGGAGAGGATTTTTTTCCCTCTGCTCCAAGCGCCTCTCTCTGGAATGAGGACGCTTTATGGCTTTTCTATGTGCTGTCGGGGAACTAGCGAGTCCGAGACCATGCCGAGGATGGGGTGATTATTAATTTCACTCATCAGCCCCGTCTTGTCCCATCACAGTTCTTTGTAACATTAACTACCCACTTTCAGGAGCCTGTAAGAGATCATTCTGGCCTCCCTTTCCAGTAGAATGTGGAGAGGGGTTAGGTCCAGCACGGTCTTCATGGCTCCCGTAGGTGTAGTTGACATTGCTCTAGTTAAGGCGAGGCACGCAAGCCGCTGTATTCCAGCCAGCTTTGCTCTGGCCGTCCGTTGAAGTCCCTTGTCTCACCAGACGACAGAGCCGTACGTTGCCATGGGTTTTACCACTGTTTGGTAGATCCAGATCTCCCCCGCATATCCTTCTGAGGGTCCAGAGGGATAATCTGGCTTTGTTGATGATTTTATCCAATTGGGGGTTCCAGGTGAGCTTCTTATCTAGGGTTATTCCCAGATATTTCACCTCCTCCGCAAAAGGAATGGTTTCCCTAGCCAAGGTAGGTTGTCGAAACTTGTCGAGCTTTCTTCTCTAGATGAAGGGGACAATAACAGTTTTGCGGAGGTTAACAGGCATCTGCTCCCTCTCGCACCATCTGTTGGTCGTATTAAGGGCTTGTTGAAGGATGTTGGAGATCATCTCTTCGAACTTTCCCCTAATTATGATAACCGGATTGTCCGCATAGCATTGGAAATCCAACCCCTGTCGGGAGAGATCGTCTAGCAGGTTACCCACCAGAATAGTCCACAGTAGGGGTGAAAGTACGCCGCCTTGTGGACATCCTCTGGCAGGCCTAAAAGTGACAGTCTCTCCATGCAGTGATGAAGTGATGTTTCTGTTTACCAGCATGCTTTTGATCCAATTAAAAGTTAGTTTGTCGATTCCTCTTCTTTCAATAGAAGAGAACAAAGACTAAGGAAGGGCGTTGTTGAACGCGCCATCTGTATCTAGGAAAACACCTAGCGCAATCTCCACGTGATTTAGGGAATGGCCGATTTTGTCTACTAGATTGTACTGGGCATGATCTGTCGATTTGCCTGCTTGTTAGGCATATTGAGAGGAGTTTAACGGGTTTGTCCTAAGGCTTCCTTCTCTAATATGCCTATCTAGAATCCTCTCTAGTGTTTTTAGAAGAAAGGATGTTAGGCAGATTGGACGATAAGAGTTTGGTAGGGAGGTATCTACTCTACCATCCTTGTGTATATACACGACTTTCGCCAACGTCCATCCTAGTGGGATATAGCTCCATACCAGGCTTGCTCTAAACAACCTCACAAGAAGGGGCAGCTGGAGTTCCTGTCCTTTTTGTAAAAGGGCCGGAACAATGCCATCCTCTCCGGGTGATTTGAAGGGGGAGAATGAATTCATCGCCCATTTCAAGGCGTTTGGAGAGACAATTTGTCCAGTCCTCCTTTTTGGGTCGTATAGTCGATTCCGTTAAAGAAAGGGGTACATGTTGCCTACCACAAGGTATGGTTCTATAGCATATTTTGTTCAATATTTATGTTACTGGTTTATTCTCATTGCCAAGCCAAGGTCACATCCTAGGTTTGGCTGATGATACAGCTATTCTTTACAGTGATGAAACATGGGACAATCTTAAAATAAAAGCTAAAATTGATTTCATTAATATATAAAAATGGTCGGATAACCAATTATAGACTAACAGTAAAGCTGTATCAAATCTTACTTACCTTACTTTTGATAATATAACCATAGAAATAGCAAATGTTCCCTATCAAATTACACCCCTGTAAATAACGCTAAACATATAGGTGTTATTATAAAAACAAAAACCTCGGATGGGATTTTCAAATAAAATTTGTAATAAAGAAATTTGAATCGATAATATACAGGGTGTACAAACGATAACTTGACTCCAGAAACACAAAAACAAAGGAATTTTTCACTTTTATTGGCAAGGGGACGAATTGTCATATAAAATTCATATCCAGAAATCTAACCCTTTATAGCCCAGCAGCAATCCCCTTTTTTTTATAGTCAAGTAACATCATCTGAAAGGTATTTTTATGGATGATTCAGTAATATGACTATTCATTACGTTACTTTTCAAATTCATTCATACATTTCAAATTTATTAATTCATTCATTTCATTCTTAAAAGTTACATAATTATTTGTATTTATTTATGTTGTTATGTTTTTGATAGTTTTTCGTCTCTCCATTGACAGTTTAAAAATATAATAAAATTGTATTATTATTACTTTTAGGATGGCAACGAAGAAAGCCCTATAAACATGGTGTTACTCGACTTCCAAGTCACTTTCGTCTTTTCGCCGATACTCGACCTATCTACATATTTATACTGCGGAGCATCAAAAGAAGAATTCTCCCATTTTACGGAACTAATGGAATTTTATCATGATGAACTTTCATCGTTCTTGGCCCAGCTTGGAAGCGACGTTAACAAACTATTTCCGATCTCGACGATGTGGCAACATTGGAAAAAATATTCGTTCTATGGTTTCAACTATGCCACAACATTTTTAGAACTGATGTTTATTGACTCGGATGCTGTGCCTGAATTTAAAAAGGAACAAGTTTCACCTGAAGAATTTTTGAATATTAATTTAAAAGATAAGACCAAGTATTTGGAAAGACTGCTGGATATTATCGAGCATTACTTGGATTTTAATAATATTCATTAAAAAATGTGGATTTTGAAATAACAATTTTATTCTCCTAAATTATTTGCTTCTGTCTGTGACTTCGTTATTTTGTTAAGATGACTAAATAGTACAGATATTAAAGAAAAAATAACAGTTTTTTTGGCAAAATTGTTTGCTTGTAAAAAAAGTTATATTAAATTTGTTTGACTTCCATTTTGCTTTTAATTTGTTAGATTTGTCACTAGTACAAGAAAACAAAATACCAGACGCTGCGTTTAGAAAATGTTCAAAATATTGAAATGTAAATAATTATAATTGCGCTCATACAAAAAATATACATAATCACAGTAATGGTTTTGTTTTGTCAAGCAAACTTTAGCTATACATTATGCGTTGAGCGGGTTGCAGTGATGTTTTTTAAATTTTTTTTTTTTTTTTTATTTTTAAGTTGGTAATAAATTTCGTGCAGGCATTGAACTTCTTGTAAAAGAAAGGCAACTCCAAGTTTCTCATTAGTTATAGTTGTAGGTACCACTTAGTGACTGGGAGAAGTTTACATTACAAACTGGAAGACCTGCGGGGCAACCGTAGTTTACCAGGTATAAAAATTAATAATTAAAGGTTTTAAATAAGGTCTTGAAGATATCATAGTTCGAAATTCCTTTTATTGACCATTATACTTTTTTTGGAATGAAATCATTAGTTCCTGTTTTTCAGTTCAGCTTCATAAATCAATTCAAATTTTAATCTGAACGGTACTTAAGCGCAGTAAAGTGGCAACAACTAAACAATATAGTGAATTTTTCGAAAATTTTTAAATTAAAGTGAAATTATATTTAAAATTAAATAGGTTAGCTAAAATTTTTGACCGCATGAAGTTATTAACGTGATAAATAATTACGTTTCAAAGATTCATATGTGAATTTTCAATTTCTATTGTTACTCATCTGCGATTTACAATATCAATACATGGTAGAACTTTTAATCCGAATCAGAATCTTGATATTATCATTTGGGAACTTAAAACTGTGGTCCACTAGTTGGTGTAGCCTTTCAAAATATTTGGTTTAATAATTATGTCATAAATTGCCACTTCCAATGGTAAAATTTAAAAAAACGTATAAGACCTTAATCATAAATTACATGGATGCTTACTACCATATTTTAAAAATAAATAAAATGTAACTCTTAAATTAATAAACATAATCAAAATAATTTAAGATTCCTTGCCTTATGTTAATAAAAATTAAACAAAATTTCTTACCATTTATTTGGTATTGTCCCGTACTTCAATGACCCTATTCAAGGGCGTAGATAAGGAGGGGGGGGTTATATTAAATAAAAATAGAGAAAAAATAAATACAATAAAACAAAAAGTTTCTCAAACATTGTCATATAAAATAATAATATTCCTACCAATTGAAAATTTAAATTTATATACAGGGTCCCATTAGTTCGTAATTGTTCAATATTTCAATTTGTGTTATTGACAAGCAAACAAGTTTTAATAAAAGTTATGTGGAATTGAAAAATACATATTTTAAAAATATTTTTGGATATACAGGGTGTTGCATTTTTGCCTGACAAATAAAAATTTATGTTTTTTAAATAGAACACCCTATATTTTATTTTATTTTTAGAATGACTTGGAAATACTGTATTTAATCCTAGAATGTTTTTAAAAAATATTACAGTGTTGCCAAACAATTTTTTTTTAAATTAGAGAATGATGCAGACCCCAAATAAAATTATCATAATTTAGGTAGATTTACATTAATTTCAACATTGTTTAATATACAGACTTATAAAATACTAAGCTAACGGATAGAGGTGATCAACTGGTTTATTCTATACAGAGCATTTTGAAACATGTTTTAAATATGGCTAATTTTAAGTTCAATTTACTCAATTTTTCAAACGCAACATACTGTATATTATCTAGATTATGTAGATATTTGTCGATAAATATACGAGAGCATCCTGAGTAGACTTTTTTCCCCTAAAACCGTATTGCTTAGGTGATAAAATATTGTTCTTATTTAAAAAACTAGTAATTCTATTTTTCAATATTTTTTCAAAAACCTTGGCAACACTGGTTTATTAGAGAAATGGATCTATAATTTGTCATATCTAGCTTATCATTATTTTTAAAAATTGGAGTAGGGGAATGGTGGGAGGCGTGGGACATTTTTTACTTTAAATTATATAAATATAGAAAAAAAAAATGCTTTTATTACTTTTATTACATTTATATGAAGCGTAAACATAATTCAGTGATTTGCAGCAAAAAAAGAAATTCAAAAATGCATTACAACAATATAAACGTCAAAAATGAACTTAACTGTCAAATGTCCCATACATCCCGATTATTCGGGTGATATGGGACACCGGACACCTTATCGGGTGGAATGGGACTATTTGACTTCGTAACCTAATAAGTCTACATTAAATTTTAACAGTGACTCGCATCGTTCTGTACCACCAACAATAAATACTGGAGGGATATCGTTTCCTGCTGCATTTATTATGAATAAGACTGTGACTATTTGTCCTCGTTCTGCTGATGTCACTTGACCAACTTGTTTTTGTCCACGTTTGTCAATTACTTTAGTTGGTTTGTGGATTGTCGTGACGCCGGTTTCATCACAATTATATATACGATCAGCGGACATATTGCATTTCTCATAGATTTTTTTTAGATTGTTTAAAAAGGAGTCGACATTATGTTTATTGAAACTCGTGGCTCTAGAGAGGCTAGTGGCCTCAGGTGCTCTTAACGGAAGCTCTTTATGCCTATCTCGAAAACCGTAAAACCAATCCTTGCCAGCCACGCCTTTTTCTTTCCACGAATCTGGAAAATTTAGATGTAGAGCGTCAGCATATTGGAAAGCCAGAGACCTAACTTGAACTGTACTTAATCCATAGTGCATTTTACTAGCTTTAATCAAATACTCGCTCAGTAAATCTTCTTGTTCTAATGAAAATACAAGGCTTCAAGTAAGATTTTTTTGAAATACAACTTGGTTTTTATTTTCTGATTTCTTATATGTGCTTACATGTCTTGCCAATGCTGATTTAGAGATGTTAAGAGCAGTAGCAACTTGTCTAATCGACTTTTGATCGTCTCAGACCATTTTAACTGCTTGCAGTATAAAGTCATTAGCAATGGCCCTGTTTGGATATTTTTTCTGCCACTTTCGAGGCATTGCATAGATATTTAATCTGTAAATAAGATTTTCCCATTTAGAAAAATTATTTAAAAGACAATACGAGCATATAGCCACTTGACAAAAAATTGAATAGGTACTTATTTGAATCGAAAACAATTTACAGGGAGGAGTGGGAAACGTCCCTTACCACCCGAATGATCGATGTCCCAGTCCTCCCCGTATATATCAAATTGATTCACCTTTAATTTTTATGAAAACCAGAGGTACTATTGTAGTCAAACCATACACAAACATAGCCAATATTCATAACTCTAAACTACTCAACCTAAGATCGCGTTATCTACAAGTGTTTTGAAAACATTTGAAAAATATTGCTTATGCTACTACTTACTATTAGCACCTGGAAATGCAAACACTCTCATAAAATTTGTAAACAATGTGCACTCGTCACGCATCTACAATCAACTAAAGGAAACAAGTGAATAAGTCCAGTTTTATGCCTACGGTGTGTATTTCGCGGTAAATTTAAATTCCTAAATTGATTGTCCCAGACCACCCGCCGTCCCAAATCTCCCGAATTACCCCTAATAATTGTATCTTTTAATATATTTGAAAATAAACCTCTTTCTAGACATTGATTAATTAAATATGGAATTACGGGAGATATATATTCTTTAGTCTCTTTTAATATTTCTGAAGTGATACCCTGTATTAATTGGTGGTATGACATATAGGGTATTCCATTTAAAAAAATGAGAAAATCGTTATCTCTCATTTTGAAACACCCTATATACAACATAGCAAATAAATGAAGTATATTAAAGTTGTTTGACGATGTGAAAAGAAATATAAAAATGTATAGGTTTGGTCAGCCCCTCGTTTATGGACCACCCTGTATATTTAAGAATATTTATTGAACGTGATGATACAACTTTTATATTAATTTGTTTTTCCTATTTCCAATAATAAAACAGCTATCGATCAATTACGCACAATTGGGACATGTTGGTATCGTTGGATAGGTAAATTTATAAGGAATTTTATGCGAAAATAATATACAGTGTGTTGCATTTGACAAAATTGAGTAAATTGAACTTAAAATTAGCCATATTTAAGACATATTTCAAAACACTCTTTATAAAATAAATCCGTTCCCTTTTTTGTGACAAATGGCTTGAGAAATATTTATTAATTTTAAGTTTTATGAAATGTAGGGTGTTCAAAAAGTTTTGAATAAAATTGTTTCTTTAGCCCTTCACTATACGCCAATAGGTTATAGTAATTTATCGAAATAGTGTGTTAACTAATAATAACGATTACTTATCATATACATATTTTTAAATCAAAGTCCTTACTGTAAGGGAAGATATTTAGAAAATATGTATTTATGAAATTCACTTTATCACCCTGTAGAATGAAAACTGGGACGTTTATAGGAAAATTATATTTAGATTTTCTTTATAATTGATTAAGATCTACAAATCCCAAAAATTACGGTACTTTATTTTGAAACACCCTCTATAAATATATAAAAAATTAAAAACTTCATTATAAAACTCTTTTTTCTGGAAATACACATATGAACTTTAGACGTTGCATTGGAACCATATAATAACACGCTACGCATTCACCAATAATGTGAAAAGTGTTACCCCCCCCAGAAAACAACCTAGCTACGCGCTTGCTCCTATTAACTCTACTGTTAACAAGTTCTGATAAGGCTTATTGCATATAAAAAATTTTAATTTTATTTTCTTCCCAAAAGCTGTAATTTCGAGGAATTTTCTCCACTTTTATTTCCCGAGGAGTCCAAACGCCAAAATGCAAAAATTTATTTGTGTTATGAGCAGCGCAGCTAGCCCTGAATTTGAAAATAGCAATTGTGGTTCTTATTCTTGTTATTTTTTCAAAAAGTAATTTTTCTACTGCATATTTCTTCTATAGTCGAAATCCACATTTAAAAACATTTTCTTGCTAATCAATTACGTGTAAGTAAAGGTTACATCAGTGCTCCTCTAGAACCACTTTTCTAAAATTAAATTTAGTTTTTTCCAAAAAAAAAAATTGAGAAAATGGTTAAAAAAAGTCGAGTGTTGCATTTTTCTTCTTAGAAAAAACGCAACCAAATTTTAAAAAATTGTCTCCGGACGAGAACAGGGTGTCTACACGTAAATATTCTTTCTCAGGTAAAATATAAAAAATTCTACATCAACTGTTTCAAAAACAGGCAATTACCTATTCTAATCACAGTAATTTGTTTAATTTTATTTAATTAAAATAAATCTAGTAAAAACAAAACACACAACAATATTTATTGTGTAATAAACCTGTTCTATCAAAAAAGAAAAATAAACCTCATATTATTTTATAATGTATTAAAACATTTTTACAGAATATGTTAACCTTGAAAAATAATTAATACTTCGTATGTAATATCACAGATCGTTATCAAAACAGAATCAGTGTTAGTGAATATACGACAATGGATCGCGATAGAAGTGAATTAATAAATTGGTTCAAAAAAGCTGTAGGTACGGAAAAATGTTCCGTAGAACTAGAAGGTACAAAGGAAAAAGGTGATGGATACGTAGCCGACATAATATTTGCGACAGTAACACTAGATGAACCCAATCACAATGGAAAACAATTACATTTAGCTGCCAAAGCGAGTAAAACTTCACTAGACATGCGAAAGTTCTTATCCGAAATTTGCCAAAGAGAGGTGGCGTTTTATAAAGATATAGTGCCGATTTTTCAGCAGTTCCAACAGGAAAAATACGTTAAAGAACCCTTTCAAGCTCTACCGAAATGCTACACAGCCTTCCTGACTGAAAATGCTGAAGTTATAATACAGGAAAATATGTCAACTAAAGGATACGTACTGCATAACAGAAGAATCCCGATGAACATCAATCATATGAAACTAGTACTAAGTAATTATGCAAAATTCCACGCGTTATCCCTAGCTATTAGAGATCAAAAACCGGAAGTTTTCGAAAACATCGAAAAAACTTGCTACAACATTGTGCTGGGAAAACTTTCTATGGTCGGAGCAATGTACGAAAAATCTGCTACGAAAGTTATTAATAATTTAAATGAAGTGGGTAGGACAGATCTTGCGAAAAGGTATGAAAAATTGGTGGAACGAAATGTGGTGGAAATTGTAAAGAATCTTCTACTAGATGTTCCTAATGAAAGAGTATTAACGCACGCTGATTGTCACAATGGCAACTTTATGTTCGAGTACAAGGTAAATTTATTATACAATATTTTAATTCTTGATTATACAATAATTTTTTTAGTAAATTTCTATATTTTTATGGTTATTATACCTTATTTTGTAATTAGTGTAGTTTGGTTTCTCTTGGGTTGTAGAGAGTGTTGCCAGAATATATTTTTGCTACGTACCAGGTTTGTTTAAAAAATGTACTAGATTGCATAAAAATTTACTAGATTCTGTAAAAGGTACCAGATTTTTGAATGAATTGTGATGTGGTTTGGTTCATTAAAGAAAAAAAGTGTTTTTAGCGAACGAAAACAAAACAAGCTGCAAGATCCCAAAAATATATTTTACACGCGTCAAATGGTAACACGCTGAAAAAGAAAAAGGTACTTGATTTTGCTTCGAGTTTCTTAGAAAATGTACTAGATCAAGTACAATTGTACTAGACTGACAACACTGGTTGTAGCTGTGTTTATACAAAAAAAACTACAGTTGTGCTAATTTGTAATGCTTTCGGATTTTTTATTAATAATATTCTTATTTTTATTATTTTTTTATTCATTACTAATAAGTAATTCAAAATTATTTTTTTAATAGGATTGTTTTCTATTAATGGGTTCTATATATCAAATACATTTTTGCTAAGATATCAAGACAAGGAAAATTAAAATTTGTATACTTTTCTTTAGTGTTGTGCCACATTTTTTAAATCTGAATGCATGTTATTATTGCAGTATTAGAATAGTCATATATACATTGTCGGCCACTAAACGTTTTCCAATACGCTTTGCACAAGTCCATGTGAAAACTACGGGAGAATGAGCATCAGTTTATACGCCCGACCGCGTTGGAACGTTGGCCGGCCCATATAAACTGTCAACGCTGATATTATTCGTTTCCTGTTCATGCTAATACTAACTCTCTGTGGTTTTCACATGCACTTATGTAATGCGTATTAGAAAGCGTTCGATAACCGATATTGTGTATTATAAATTTATACGCAGTATTGACTATTAAATGCTTTCCAATACACTTTGCACAAATACATGTGAAAACTACAGCGTTGGGAGTAGTCCAGCAGGAAACGAATAATATCAGTGTGGCCAATTTATACGGTCAACGTTACAATGCAGTCGGGCAGTATAAACTGGCAACGCTGATATTATTTGTTTTCCGTTCGCTAGGGTTGTCACCCTTTTATTTCCCAAAACCCGGACATGATCCAGTGACGCATCCAGTGTTTAAGTTTGGAGGGTTAGTGGTAATATTTTCGACTTATTGGAGGGGGAGAAGGTAATTACTTCCATTCCCATCCCCTCCCGCATATGCGCTCCTGAAAGATCGATTCAAGCTAGGGGATACATACATAACATGTATACAGACCCGACGAGAGGGGGGACAGGGGGCAAAATCCCCAGGGCTTGGGCACAAAGGAAGCCTTTTTTAACACGCTTATACAGTGTGTCTACTAATGTTGGAACCATATGGAAAATATTTTTATTATTGATTTTAGGAAAAAAAGTTATTCTTGATAAAAAGTCCTGCATGACCCAAAATTAAAATACAGTCATCAGATATCAAATTTTTCAAGCCGTATACGAGGTTTGTCAAAAAATATGAATTTTGCTCAAGAGTAAAGTACGTTTATTTTTTTACAAAATCGAAAATTTTCATTAAGAAATTTGCTAAATTCTTCACAAACATCAACAAAAGGAAAGCGTATCATGTTTATAGTAGCTAACGTAATTTATAACGTTTTCAGATATTTACAATCAATGTGTAGAGTGAAGAGTTTATAAAAAATAAGAAAATCTGTTTTTTCAGATAGATCGATGTAATTGCATATTTGAATGTAATATTCAATTCTAATCAACTTTTATTAATGAAAATTTTCGATTTTACGTACTTTACTCTTGAGCAAAATTCATATTTTTTGACAAACCTCGTATACGGCTTGAAAAATTTGATATGTGATGACTGTATTTTAGGTTTTGGGTCATGCAGGACTTTTTATCAAGAATAACTTTTTTTCCTAAAATCAATAATAAAAATGTTTTCCATATGGTTCCAACTTAAGTAGACACACTGTATTAGCTTCACCTGTATGTATGTTTGTAACTCTCCTTTGGACTAAAAGCAAGTGGCTTATTACTGTTCGTTCGTTGGCCGAGAGGTCTAAGGCGCGGGTTTTCGATTGCTAGACTCACCGATCGTGGGTTCTAATCCCCACGGTTGAAAAAAAAATTTTTCAGCAATTTTTTTAATAATTAATCGAACTAAAAAGTAAAAAATAAATATAGTTTAATAAAAACTAAAAAACACGCTTTTATAATACATCGAACTAAAAAGTGAAAAATAATTTTTCAAATAAGCTTTAAAACAATAATAAATGGAAAATACTAGTACTATTGTGAAAAAAGCGTGGGGCGTTTTGTCCATATTTCTCGTACATCGATTGAGTCTCCATGGTAACTCTCTGTAGTCATGGACTTGTGCAAAGCGTATTGGAAAACGTTCAGTAGAAATTAAAATTTTTGATTTTTATCGCGGCGATACCAAATCTATAAAATACAAAGAATATTTTCCTGTAGATATTGAACGAGGCACTTTCCTGCGCCACCTGTTTTAGATGGATGCGGTATTGCCAAATTAAGTATAATGTTGGATTTTTATTAATTTAAGAGGGTTCTATACTGTGTTCATGTTCAAATGGCGGGCTTAATACTCACCAAAAAAAATGTTTTTTTGTATCCGAGTTTCTTATGCATCGTAGATTGGCGCATGATAACTATTTTTTAAAATTATAAAAAAGATAAAATAAAAAAAATATATAAAAAAGTCATATACGTATATGTTATCACTTGCCATTCTTCATTTACCACTGAACAACTTCCTAGTAAACCACAAATAGTTGGCATGTACGGGAAGCCGAGTACTCGGATTGCCGTTGTCGGGGTATCTTCTGAGCCGGGAGTACCGTACCATTTGACGTAATTCAGAAGTCGAAACCGCATGTGGTCCATATTTTGCTTTGCAGACATGGGAGGCATCCTTACGAGCCGAACGCGGTGAATATTTGGCTAGACGAGCATGGGAGGCATCCTTACGAACCGAACTATATATATATATATATGAACGCGGCTACAATGTAATGGGCTGCCGACATTCGGCTGGACAGACATGCCCTACCTATATGCCGAAGCTGCACCCATAAATCGGGCCGAGTAGGGCATTCGGCAAGCCTCCTTCGGCCCAATTACGGTGCCGATTAACTATGTTTATTGGGCTGTGTGTTTACCATTTTTAAAAAAAGTAAGTAGTTTTTTCTAAAATTGGACATTGCTCAAAAATCTCAGAGGACACCGGAAGGTGCTGCCCCCAAAGGTCCTCTTGTACGTTTGGATACATGATTTTTAAATTCTATGCCAGATGGCGTAACAGTCGCAAAAAGTATGTTCAGTTGCCTAAATCAATAAATATTACGCGAAATTCTCCGATCTATAAATAGATCGGAGAACGGCAACCAATAAATATTGTGTTTATTTGGCGAAACTTCAATTCAGTTTCAGCTTTTAGGTTCGGTGATGCCATCTCTGCAGATAGTTTGTGAATTCACAGACAAAGCTCATAGTAGCGTTGGAAATAGTCCTTTTTTAAAATAAATTTCTTCAAAAAATTTCATGAAAGATAAATAAGATGCGCATAAAATTGCTATTATATAATAAAATACAAAATACGAGCACGAAATTATGAAACGAGCTTGTCGATTTTGGTCCGAAATTATAAAAAACACACTTTCTAAAAAAATGTTCTTAATTTCAGCTCCGAAAATTTTACGGTCGAAAAAAATTAATAGTTACCGATTTCGCTTGAATAGTGGAGAAAAAAAACATTCTTAGAGCAAAAATCAATGGCGCAAATGGCGTTTCATAAAATTGCACTTTGCGTTGCATAATGAGCTCATTATGAAACCAAAATCTAAAACCTCATTTATAAACAAATCATTTTTTATTCTGAAATGTGCAAATAAAAATAAATAATGCCACTCTTGGCAACGTTGTAATTTCATGTGTTTTCATGTTGTCATCAAAGTAAGTGATCCGAGAGTGATCCACAAACTTCGAGTAATCAAAGTATGTGAAGTGAATATGTCTGTGGTTGTCATTGTGGATGCGAATTAAGTAACATATTGTATATGCCTATAACTTCCTAGTCTAAGGCCTATAAGACATTTTTATATAAAAATCTTTTGTCAATCATCCACGACCGAACCCAGATAGCACAAATACGTCTTATGGACGTTCTAAAAACGTCCTGCTTGGACATTCAGGACATCCTTAAAACGTCCATTTCACGGACGTGGACGTCTTATGGACGTCTTTGGAACGTCCATTGTTAATAATCAGGATGTCTTAAGAACGTCCATTTAAGGACATTCCATGGACATTTTCAAAAGCTTGAATGGGGAATAATAGGATGTAAGGAAATTAGTGAAAATAATGAATAATTTCAAAAAATTTTATTTGGAAGCAAATAACCTATAAATAATAAAAGTATTGAAACTTTTTCGTCAAATTCATTCCGTCTCTCCTCTACTTTACGCTTTTCAACCGTGCCTGGATTGACAGCAGTTGTTTTTTCTTGATTTGGCCATATTTGTCTTCTCAGTTGAACCTGAAAATAATTTAATCGCTTATTCAAAATGAAAGGCAGATCAATATGAAAACTCAATCTGTTTGTGAAAGTTTGCTCTGCTAGACATTATGAATTCACTAACCTTTTATCTTTGAATTATTCACTGGAAAACTCCTCTACTTTACTCTTTTCAACCATGCCTGGATTGACAGCAGTCAGTTTTTTTCTTGATTTGGCCATATTTGCCTTTTCAGTTGAACCTGAAAATAATTTAATCGCTTATTCAAAATGAAAGGCAGATCAGAAAATCCAATCTGTTAAAGTTTGCCCTACTAGACATTATGAATTCACTAACCTTTTAGCTTTGTAGTATTCACTGAAAAACTCGTCTACTTTATTCTTTTCAACCATGCCTGGATTGACAGCAGTCATTTTTTTCTTGATTTGGCCATATTTGCCTTCACAGCTGAATCTAAAAATAATTTAATCCCTTATTCAAAATAAAAGGCAGATCAATATTAAAATCCAATCTGTTTGTTTAAGTTTGCCTTGCTAGACATTATACATTCACTAACCTTTTAGCTTTGTAGTATTCATTGGAAAATTTCCACCTTTCTCAAACAAAAAAATGGTACAAACTGCAAAAAATTAATATATTCATCAACCACAAACTCACAGAGTCGAATCACAGTCAAATGGCGGGATGATAGAACTTGTACTCGTATAATATGTATATATTATTGACATTTTAGTACATGTTCCAAACGTGCACCTCCTCGTTTAAGACAGACTTCACAACGATGTTCCAAATTTAAGAAATATTGATCACACAACACACAAGCATCGCAGACTTACATCGGCCGATTCCTTAAGAGTAAAAATAAGAAACAGAAACAGTTTCTCCTCTGTACCTAACACCATTCTTAACAATTACCAATTAATTGTTTAAGGTTTATTTGACAGGTCTATACTAGCTGACTTGAGTATGCCAGCGGGCACAGAGACACCGCCAACTTAGTTTCAGTACTGTTTATTTCGGGCATTACTGTATTTTAAATATGTCAAATATATTACCGATCTAGAGGGTGTTGAAAATTCAAGATTGTTATGATTTTTTTTAGAGCTCCCGTTATTTTTAAGATATGTATCTCAAGTTTGGAATCCAGGTTACGCCCTACAAGCTTACATCATTTTAAGTACCTATCAATTAGTAATGATATTTTTTAGGGGTCAAGCCCGCTTTTCTTTCCCTTAACTTTATCGCGATGCGCCGCTCTGGTAGAATCTAAAATATAGCACAAGTATAAGTTGAAAAGGCTTTTGATAGGTAGATAGAGGGAAACATACGTCGGACGGCTTCGAGAATTTCCCAGTAATATTTACCTGCCAGTGTCGTTTCATAGAATAAGTAATTTTAAAGTATTACCGGCGGAACCGGACAATCGCATGTATTTATGGACTATAAATAATTATTAAACATGTATTATAATATATCATAATTTTACAAAATTTCAACAAATATTCACAATTTATTAAACTATTTACTCGAAATTTTTATTAACATCTATAGAATAATTTTGTACGCCAATGTAGCGCGTCCACTTTGGTTAGATCCACCGCAAACCTGTCAATTTATGTGTATAAGGTGGGAGAACTGGCAAAAGCCTTTCCAACTTCTATCCCTGCTATACAACACGAATTTTCCGTTTTATTTAGAAGCTTTTTGGTCTCTTGTAATTTTTTGCATTTGCGACCGTGATCGAGAAAAAAAACGATTTTCCATAATTCGCTAAATGAAAGTAACATTTTTAAAATGGTCTATAGTCTGAATAAAAGAGGGGTGCAGTAAAAGTAATCTCGTCTATAATATATTTTTGAATTTGTTTTTATGTTGCCTTACGAGTAATTCTGCCTCCAATGATTTAGGAGTTGACGCATCCTAGCATTTTTTATAATTTTATAAAATAAGGCCAAAAATAATTAAGTGGTTTCCACACAATATAATATCGGTCAGCATTTATTGGCAAATAAATCCTTTTTCCAATAGGACAATGACGCACTATTTTATACGGGGTGTTTAAAAAAAAAGTGTCACAAAATAAAACGGGGGGTAGTATGGGCCAAAATATGCAGAAGAGTCTTAATAAACATATGTCCGCAAATGAATGGTTTCAGAGATACGGAGTGTTTTGTGTTTTGTATCATTTTTTGATTATCTTTTTTCATTCTCAAAAACTTGCTTTTCTTATCGGAGTCTACCGATGTTTTTTCATAGATACTATTTGCAGTTATTATTTTGTTGTGGGTGAATAATTTTATAAATTTTCGTTATGCCTGATTACACTAATATTGAATTAGCTGACATGCATTTTATGTACGGTCGTGCAAGTGACAATGCATTGAAATGGAGGGAGGGCACTTTGAACATCTCATTTAACTCTATGTTGTTATTGATTGTTTATAAATATCATTGTTTTTTTATAATAATAAAAAATTGTTATAAACACAAAATGGTCCGTATCTCCGAAACCGTTAATTTGCGGTCATATATTTATTAAGACTTTTCTGCTTATTTTGGGTCATACTATTCACCATTTCATTTTGTGACACTTTTTTTTAACACCCTGTATACACGTTGTTTTTTTTTAAGTGTTAAACACGTTAAATTTAAAACAATTTTATTGTTTGAATTTGTTCAAGTTTTTATGCCTATTATTCTCCAGTGCATGTTTTATTTGACACTATTTGATCACGACAAATAAAGAACAGGTGTATTCAAATTATTGGTGTCATGGCAAATTGAATTAATATGGTCCATTTTCTCGAAACGCTTGCCTTGTTTGTTGAATCACTTTTCCATTAACCCTTCAGAACCCACAATCATCCACACCTGCTTTTAAATATATAATTGTGGGTTTAAAGTTTAACACCAATAAAAATTATTAATTAATAACCATAAGTGCTCCAAGACTCAAAGTAAGTAAACAGAATCAAAATTTTGCTCACCTTTCAAACATAAGTAATATTCACCAGTCTAGGTACGGAAAATTTCTCAGAATTCAAACTTCATTTCAAACTTTACACTCGCGTTTTATCAGTTTTCAGTTTTATCACCATCACTATAAAAAACCCGCTCGGAACTTTAAACCTTTGTAAAAATAAGAAACTATTTTAAATGAAAACCGACGCGTGAACATCAAAACAAATCTGTCAAATTAATAGAACAAAGAACATAATATTTCTAGAATTTATTTTCATGGCATACTATTATTTTTTGTAATAAAATAATATGATAAAATGAAATAGGTATATTACTTAATAAAATTAAAAAGAATACGATAGAATACGAAGTATATTTCGATAGGGATGACTGGGGTAAAAACACTGATCAATAGAATTTTTAATTAAGTATATTATTTAATATCAATAACTAAAAAATGTGCTGACAATAATTAGTTTGACACAATTATTGTCACTTATATGTCGATAGTCGTGATCAGCGCATCAAAAAACATCAGCCTTGGACAAAAAATACTCATGGAAAGGGTGTAAGCCTATCTACTAATTATAATATTTTATGAAAATATCAATTATATAATAAAAAATAAAGATAGTCCAAGTAATAACAACAATAGGTAATATTAATAGAAATTAAAATAATAACAATCAAAGCATGGGTTACATTATTGTATGTGGAATATACTACATTGGAAAAACTTAGACATCTTTTACAAATATCCTCCAGAGGGCGTATCGCTTAACTTGAATCGCGGACAATGTAAGCCCTACAGTGTAATTAAGATTTCAAAATAACTAAATATCTCAAAAAATATTTTTTTTTTAAATTTAAACACTTTGCAAATTAGTAGCGAACCGTTTTCGAATCTATATGTTTATATGAATTTTTTGTCTTTAAATAAACCAAAGAATTATCCATTTCCGTATATGTACAAGGTATTTATAAACACCATGTATAGAGACTCGAAGTTCGGACACACTGTATGTAGGTGAAGAGAAAATCTGGTATTGATGTTGCTAAAATTTCAAAAATTCGGGTTCAGATAGTTTGTTTGTCTATTGAAAGTTTAAAAATAAAATAACATTTTAATATTCTTTTAGGATGGCAACAAAGAAAGCCCTTCAAACATGGTGTTACTCGACTTCCAAGTCTCCTTTGTCTTCTCTCCAATAATCGACCTGTCTTTATACCTATACTGCGGATCGTCAAAAGAAGAATTCTCCCATTTTACGGAACTGATGGAATTTTATCATGATAAACTGTCATCATTCTTGTCCCAGCTTGGAAGCGACGTTAACAAACTATTTCCGATATCGACGATGTGGCAACATTGGAAAAAATACTCGTTCTTTGGTTTCAATACGGCCACAGCATTTTTGGAACTGTTATTTATTGAAGCGGATGATGTGCCCGAGTTTAAAGATGAAGACAATAAGCCAGAAGATTTTTTGAATATAAATTTGAGAGATAGGACCAAGTTTTTGGAAAGATTGGTGGATATTATCGAGCACTATTTGGATTTTAATAAAATTCATTAAAAATATTGTATTTTGAAGTAATAGCTAGGAAGTTGGTGGTAGAGAAAGCATATTATTTTTATTATTATTTGGTTGTCGTTAAGATTGATAGGATTGATTGCTAAGTGGTAAAGTCAGGTGTTTCAAAAAAATGTATTTTCGTGCAATCGCACGCGAAGTCAGTATTTCGCGTTCTCAGCACAGTCCGCGAAATTTAATTTCGCGGCCGTTACCCATAGCAACGGCTGCGAAACCAAACGTCACTTCCAAATTTGAATATCACTTCCAAATTTGAATATCACTTCCAAATTTGACATTTCTAAAATATTACAAAGACAAGGATTATTTTTTATTGAATACCAACAAATACATAAGTACTTATATTATTTAGGATGAATATTAACATTAATTGTACAGTGGGGTCTATTCTGTAATAATTCCTTTATATTTAACGGCCTTTAAAAATATTGGCGACCTTTAAAAATATGTTTGTATTCGTTAATTTACTTTTGTCATTATTTAAACAGATTTCTTTAAGATAGTCCTCTAATGTATTTTAAAGATCCGTTTAAATAATGACAGAAGTAAAGAAGAAAATATTTTTAAAGGCCGTTAAATATAAAGGAATTGTTACAGAATAGACCCCAGTTTGTATTATTACTTATATTTACTCCAGAAGTTGAAGCAACTATATCTAGTGTTTCTGAATAATGCTTATTGCCTACATTCAAACCAGATACTATATCGCCAGAAATTAAGTTGGAAATTTGCTTCTTATTTTCGGGTATTAAAACGGAAATCGCCGAATTTTCAACTCTCTTGAGTTTAGGAGGAGTGGAAGGTACTGAAATATTGCTATCAGTATCAAACATTTTGCGTTTTGTCAAGAACTGTCAAAATATTTTGTATGTATTGAACATTTACATAGCACACGGTGACATTGTTAAATAAATTGAACTGCTGTTGATTTTAGAGCAATAATATATTTATTTACAATTATCTAGTTTAATAATTTTAACGATTGCACGAAAAATAGTGTGTATGCCATGGCCGCGAAACTTTTTAACGACCTCAAGATTATCTTGCCTCGGCCGCAAGCGGCCTCGGCGATAACTATTCTTTCGGTACGTTAAAAAGATATTTCGCGGCCTAAGCATACAAATAACTATTTAAGTTAAAAAAAATCTCAAATTTTTGACATATGTCTGTCAATTAGTTATGTTAATATGATTATTTTCCTGGCATATCAACTTTGACATTTTATCGTTATAAAGACGTCTTATTTAAGGCTTCACACCATTGTAAGCTATTAATAAGTCGTCTTAAAGACGTTTTATATATGGCATATTTGAAGCTCTGCAGACTAATATAAGCCATTAATAAGATGTCTTAAGGACGTCCCCTTTTGTAACATCAGACGTTTTCTAAGACGTCTTTAAGGAAATAGCAGATGTTTTAAAGACGTCTCGTATATCTTATGCTAGACACGACTAAGACTAAGTGCTATCTGGATTGTCGAATTATTGTAAAAGATTTCCAATAAATTATATTCCTATTTCCCATTTTTTTATTTGTTCGTTTTTGTCTCCAGAACAAGAGAAACAATGACAGACACGTTAAGAAGATATTAATAAAAATATGACAATTTAATGTTTCATTATAATATAAAAATTAACTATATTCTAGTTTTTTTTTCGATTAAAGTGGGTAGAAATTGCAGTTTAATATTAAATCTGAAATTTTTGGCGAACCAACTTTACCCTTCAGGTTAGTCCCATCGTAGTAACTACCCCTCTAAATTTTTAAATAAAAACAGGATGCATATGACACTGCATTTGAGCAGAAAGTAGCACTGCCTAAGGACTTTTTAATCGAATTTCAAACAAGATTTTTTCTAGGATTTTATTTTATTGGTGTTCTGTGGATATAATAAGTTTATTTGACATAAGCCTACTCTTTTAAGAGAAAAAAATTGTTTAGTACTTATATGTCGGTAATTATTTATGATTTAATCATTTAATTATTTAAGGAAAATACTGTTGGATGATTTAAAATATTAGGCAATCAATTAAAATATTTATTAAGACTATTTGTTTTAAAATCTAGCGCTATTTTATCTATAAATATAAATAGGCGTGCGCCAAAGTTACTTTCTACTTAAGAGCGCCAATGTCAAATTATGACAGCTTGCAGAAAACAATATTTTTTTTTAATAATTGTATTTAATTATTCTTACAAAAAATATAAAAAAAAATTAAATATACCTATTTACAAAGTATATATTAAAAAATTTGTTGAATTCAAAATGCATAATATAGTTGTCATTTTTATATTGAAATATATAGTATATTTCATTAGCCCAGAAAATACACTTTTCCCGTGCGAGCTTGACATTTTTTCGTGTGAAGCGCAGCCGAACACGGGATGTCATGCACGCTAAAATTAGTACATTTTTAGTTTAGACGAATCTAATGTATGTATTTTCAATGGAGAGTCGAAAAGGTTAATGTAACTTTCTTTGAGATATCACAGGAGTTTTTCGTTTGAATAAGGGCCGACATTTGCTTCAAAATATTATGCAACCTAATAAATAACCAGATGGCCTTCGGGCATTCACCTCGAAAAATAGTTAAGTTAGACATAAGTGTTTCGATGGGGTAAATTCGGTTAATTTTAATAGAAAATATAAGAAATATATAGGGGTAAATTATGCATATAAATCTAAGCAAACCTAGATGGTTAACCAACTGGTAAATTGACACTGTTCGTCAGCTTTAGGGGGCACTTATACTAGCCACGCATATTAGGTTTTAACCATAAAGTATATGTGAACATCAACACAGTAAGTTAACCAACTGACGAACTGGCGCTGTTCGGTAATTCAGTTGGTCACACCTCTATGCTTGTCGAAATATTTTGACCGAAAAATATGTGGTATAATTTATGACCAATCTTTTTGAAACACCCTGTATATCTACGATAGAATCAAGCTAAATAACGTGGTCCGCGTTTGAGCGGGACTCAAGTGAGATCTCGGTAAAAAATACCTATTAAAATATACTTTGCAAATTATTTACTATATTTTATTATTTATTATATGAAAAAAATAAGGGTTTAAATATAAATTTTGTATGGCTTTATTTACCAATTTGCACCAAACTTTGCATCGAATCCTGGTTTATTTTAATTAACATTATCACCAAGGCCGACGAGAGGGGGGATAGCCAGGACTAATTCCCGGAGCCAGGACTAATTCCCGGAGCCCGGACTCAAGTGGGGGCCATGCAGCAGCATAAGGGGGGTCCGGCAGCTTCAGATGAGGGCGTTTTTTATTTTTTTTAGAAATTCGCCACAAGAGCAGAAGAAGGAGGACCTTGTTTGAGATTTCACTAAAAAAGAGAAGTTTTTGCTTCAGGACCTTTTTTTAGAGATTTCATTAAAGAGGAGGAAAAAGGAGAAGTTTTTGCTCAAGTGATCTTGAAAGGTCTTAATGTTTTTCATAAAATAGTTGTCGCGGGTCCCGACCTGGAAAAATGTGCCTGGGCCCGACCTGGCTGTCCTGATTATCACAACGTCAGTATATATAATTGCTTTCAGGTACCTAATACATATATTTTTTTTGTGTAATTACATTATTGTTAATTTGTATTTATGAAAGCAATAAAGTCATTTATTGTCATTATTAAATTAGACGATTACTACTACTAGAGGAAAAGGCCAAATACAGTAAGTATAGAATTTAAAGTAAAACAAAATTGAAATGTAAATAATTAAATTTCAGATTTAAACAAAAATCGAAGGGGCATGGGGCTGGGAGGTTGCAGTATAAAGATCATTCATAAGATATCAAGTTACGTTTTATTATTACAATTTGAAGGGCCAATCTTTTCACCTCCAAGGAAAGTTGAAAGTAACTACTTGCTGATTAGGCTATAGGAAACAGTGTAACTTTACTCAAAGGTAACATAATCGACCCTAAATATACTTAAAATACGTACACCAAATACAAAATAGTTTAATATTTTTTGTAATGAGTTTTACCATCAACAAACAAATCTGAAATTTGGTATATGAAAAAAAAATATATATATAAAAAAAAACAAAAATTTTGCTACAAACTTGAAAGGTGATATATGAGCAAAAAATTAAATAAACAATTTTTTTAATAAAATTATTATTAAAATGTCTATTTCATAAGATATTTTAATACGGACCTGGGAATCTTTCAAGGGACACACAATTTTATTGCTTATCTACATCTCGAACAATAAGTAATAATGAAGGTCGTCAATTAATACTGATTTACAACTTTTAGTCTGGTTCACAAGTGCCATTTCCCTCGAAACCTGTCCTCCAGCACCGAAAATTATGATTTTGGGCTCATTCGATTCGGAATGGCATCTAGAACATTCTATCAAAATTCCAAGAGGGGCTGAAAAAAAATGCAAAAGTTATAAACAATAAAGTAAAATAAAAAATAAGGGTTTGGTTTTTTTGAAATATTTCAAAAACTATTTGACACAATCTGACACATGAACTAAAAAAATTATTTCAACTAATTAAATATTAATATTAAGGAATAAAAAAATTTGGGTACTAAGTAGACATATTGTAGAATACGGAAAGATCTTGTTTTAATAAAAATAGCCTTTTTATTCTTACTGTAATGACTTTTATTTTTTATTGATTGACAAAAGTTTTTTAAAAACGTCACTATTCCATTATTTTTTGAGAAAAACTGAATTAGCCATAGGCGTTCTAACTATTCTCAACATACTCCCACCTTAACAATGAAAATTGTTAAAAAAAAATATGAAACAGGACAAAAATATTGTAAAAAATATGAAACTGGACTAACTAAAATTGTTAAATAAGATGTGGAAATGGACTAAATAAAATTGTTAAAAATGATAGGAACTAAACATTAAATTTGAATCTATCTGGTTTCTTAACAATTCTTCCATATCTTGTGGCCAGGAGTCCTTCTTCGTTCTTCATTTTATCTATTTTCTTCTTCGTGTTGTCCTCTTTTTTACTTCTTTCTTCA